TGTATTCAGAACGGAAGGAAGACCATCAGGGACACGTCAGAGAAGTCTTACGGAGACTCGCTGCCGTGGACTCCCGACTCAAGTTATCGAAGTGCGAGTTACTCCGAACTCGCACTATCTTCCTAGGATATGTGATCAGTCCTAGTCAAATGGAAGTTGACCCGGAAAAGATCAGGGCAATCGTGGAATGGAAGTCACCGGAGAACGTCAAGGACGTCCAATCATTCCAAGGATTCGCCAACTTTTGTCGACAGTTCATAGGGAACTACGCTGGATTGTCTAAACCCCTGACAGACTTGACCAGAAAAGACAAAACATTCTTCTGGGACAAGGTGACGGAACAGGCTTTTCAGGAAATCAAGCAACGGTTCGCTAAGGAGCCAATCCTTCGGAACCACGACGTCGACAAACCAAGCACTGTTGAGACAGACGCTTCGGACACAGCGGTCGGGGCTGTACACTTACAGCCAGACGACAACGGGAAGCTTATGCCTGTCGCATACTTCTCGAAAACATTGGATTCCGCTCAGCAGAACTATAGCATCTTTGAGAAGGAACTTCTTGCTATAGTCCTCGCTTTGGAGCATTGGAAGATTTACCTTCAGGGTGCAAAGCACCGGGTAACGATCCTTACTGACCATGAGAATCTGAAAACATTTACGACGACTAAGGAGCTCAGTAACCGAAGACTCGCTAGGTGGTCACAAACCCTTGCGGGATTCGACATTGTGATTCGTCATGTCAGTGGAACTTCGAATGCGCGAGCAGATGCGCTTAGCCGGAAACCAGGCTACGAAGGAAACAAGGAGTATAAAAAGATTGCGATCTTGAAGACTCTTGAGAACGGAGACCTTGCTCCTACGATTCATGAAATCGCTGCCACAACTAGGGAGAGTCCCTGGGACGGCAAAATCAAAGCAGCACAAGCAAAAGACGAAATCGAGGAAACGAAGAACGGCAAGATCTGGGTCCCGGACTCATACGCAAAAGAATTTATTGCGGAATACCATGCGGCACCGGCCCATGGACATCAGGGAGTTCGCCGAACTCTCCAGCGAATCAAACGGAACTACCACGTTGACAGGGTAGCTGCCGTAGTCAAGGAAGTGATAGCGGAGTGTGATACCTGTATTAGGAACAAGGCTTCCCGCCATGCGCCTTATGGACAGATGGGCACTACTCCGATACCACCAACCCCTTGGAAGTCGATCTCTTGGGATTTCATTGTAAAACTACCGAAATCCAAGGATCCGATGACAGGAGTCGAATACGATTCGATCCTAGTTATCATGGAAAGGCTGACAAAATACATGATCTTGGTACCATACAAAGAATCAAGTACAGCCGAGGAATTGGCATTTGCATTCCTCAGGGAAGTAGTCTCGAAACATGGACTACCAGAAGAGATAATCTCAGACAGAGACAAGCTCTTTACCTCATTGTTTTGGAAAGCCCTCACGGAGCGCTTAGGAGTGAAAAGGAAGCTGTCAACAGCCTTTCACCCCCAGACAAATGGAGGGAACGAACACATGAATCAAGTGGTTGAGACATACCTTCGTTGTTATGTAAATAACAAACAGGACGATTGGGTTGAACTGCTACCACTAGCGGAATTTGCATATAACAGTTCAACAACGGAAACAACACTTGTTACGCCATCCTACGCCAACTTTGGGTACGAATTGGAAGCGTATCGAGAACCACTGGCTACGACAACAGACAATCAGCTCGCTCGTATCCAGGTCTCGAAAATCAATAGGGTGCCGGCGAGAGTGCAAAGGAATGGTCCTAGGTTGAGACCGTAGTTGGGACCGCTGAGGACGAGATCTGGGACGCTGAAGTTGGCGTAGCGGGGCAGGACGTAGTCGAGTCCTACTTGGACGCAGGCGGAGGGAGTGCCATTAAAGTACCAGATGTGGGAGTCATTTGGATCAGGTCCTATAGATGGTGCACCTGCTTTCACGATTCCTATATGGTGTATATATGAGTCCTCAATTCTGAACTTCTCATGAGAAAATGGCTTACCGAACTCGGTATCGGCAGTCAGGTTCTTGCTTCCTGCATAATTGGCAATTCCCCCCATGCCGCTCTGATTCGAAGAGGATGCTACGATATCTGCTTGGTGTCCGTAGGCTTTGATGGCCTTGTACATTTCGCGGATATTTGCAGTTCCGAAACCATCGTCATTCTACTAGACGTATCAGTATAACTCTAGGAATTCACAAGTGGGTTTGATGTAAACAAACAGTGATGAGAATATTAAACCCATTGACAGCACCAGAAACAACGACAGAAGCCACAATAGCTTTCTTGAACAGAGAAGGACGCATACTAAAACGACAAAAAGACCTCAGGAGAAAACGAGCCGAGAAAGAGAAGAATCGTGGGAACTCAACATACGAAGATGAACGGGAAACCCATAATACATATCTCATATCCTCACCCGTTCCTAGTACATTACTCAAGCAAGTACCTTAGGGTCAGGGTCTACCATCTAGTAGCAATCACCAACCAAGAAGCCCACCCAATTCAAGCACCAGTCGATCATCCATCCGTACCTGCACACCCCCTGTCAGCGACATCCCCCACGCAACCAACCAACATCCAGTCCCTAAAAAAGAGCACGCGAGCAGATACCCAAAGAATATTCCCCGTCGTCATCGATGCTTGATGCTATAAGAATTAGTGCTGTGCGGCGAGGCTGCGGGGACAGACCCGATTGGGAAGGTAGGTTCTGCGAGGTGCATTAGTACGGTCTGTTTTATCGGTTAGATCCGCCTTCGAAATTATACGGTCTAGAATATACCTGTGGTAGTACGAGAGATACTCGTAAATAAGGGTAAAAAATAGTAACAACAAGTGTATATAAAAGTTCGTATAATAGCTGATTGGTTGATGTTGAAATTAAAGGACAAGTACTAAGTTAAGTCCTCGTAAAGGCTAAGCTTTTAGATATCCACGTGATAGAGTGGTGGATATATTGTAATACTGGCGGTACATTACAAAGTGGTCAAAATAGCCGAAAAACAGTAAACAACCAAGTATAATAATAACTCGATAAACAACTACAAAATAGCTCGCTCTCAATCTCGTTACATCCATCCAACTCCGTTGATTTCAATATTATTTATATCGATCAATCGCTTCAAGGCTCCATTCGACTCTGGTTTGGTCATAGAATCAGCCGGATTATCCTTGCCCTCAATCCAGGTGATATCGTCGATATCCCTCGACTCGAATGCGTTACGTAAACACATTATATCGATCATTAGCCTATTCTCCTTAGTCGTACCTAATTGGGCGATACAATCGAATATCGACTTCGAATCCGTACATATTTCGAGTAGAATATAACATCCGAAGCATCGCATCAAGGTGGTCTTTACGCATATAGCTATATCGTAGCCCTGGCTGACAGCGTATAGTTCTGACGCTAGAACGCTTCGGGTAACTCGCTTAGACTTTGTGGAGTTCCAGTGCAAAATATTAGCTTGTCCAGTGCCGTCCTTCAGTATTAATAGGTAAGTGGGAAGTTATTAGTATATCGGTAGTTAACTAAAATACCTAGGTAGAATAGAACTTTATAAGACTTGATCTACTTTACTCTAATAGATCTTACTAGGTAGTATAAAATCTCAATACTTACTAGTAAACCTAAGAAATTATAATAGTAAGTAAGTAATAGTAGAGTATTAATTATTTAGTCTAATATATATAACTTAAACCTAATATATAACTAAAATAGAAAGTTTAAGTTAAATCTACTAAGATTCTAAGGTTTAATTAAATTAGTAGCGCTTATATAGCTATAATTAACCTTTAGGTATTTTTATAGTAATTAATTAAGTTAATTTAATTTAATCTAAATTACTTATTAGGAGATTTTTATAATAATAATAAGGAAGAGGGTATTTATAACCTCTTTCTTTTCAGACGATTATTTATAGCGAGCGATAAACTAAGATAATTTACTTAACTAATATGGTCCTTCTTTTTGTTCTATTTTCTCGAGTTCTTACCCTGATAAATATCGGAAATGCCCTCGTACATTTTCTCTCTACCTAGCAGTGGGTAGTAATTGGGGCTGAGCTCGGACCAATAATGTCTCAGTGGAGAAGCCTTATCAACCGTATCTAACCTTAGCTGAACTTCAAGGATAGACGCAGAGAGTATCACGAACCCCAAACACGTTCCCAAAATAAACCGAATTGTGCGTTATAAAACACCAAATCTGCACCGAACGACAGCCGTTATTTGTGGTTTTTTAGAGGATTACTCGAATAGAAAGGTGCTGAGGCGCAAAGAGCTGGGGATTCCTCGTGAGTGAGATCTTGGACTCGCTGTCAGATACTGGTAGATACTGGTACCAACAATCCCATTGTCCGTAAATCAGCTGCATCTTCCCGAGAGGATCGCTGCGTACGATACAACCCAATCCCTTCCTCGAACCAAGAGTACCTTCATAATACCCCGTCCATCCAATCCGAAACAAAACACCAACCAACCCAACAACTCCACAAACCATGGCTCCCAACGCCACCAACACCATCTCAATCAACCCCCCAACACGCTTCCACCCCCCAGGACCCAAACTCGTCGCCCCCCCTCCCCCGCCATTGACCTGGCTCGAGCGAACCTGGAACGTAACACACAGCACGCTGCCCATGTGGAAGAAAGCCAAGAACGTGCGCATCACATATAAGATCCTGCCGCGCGACGACGGGAAGGGATGTTGTCTGGAGGACGAGGTCGTGTATGATGATATTGACGGGAAGCCCGAGGGGTGTTTCGAGCGCTGGCTGGGGATGAGACAGATTCGCGGGGTGGATTGGTGGGATGGGACGGAGGAGGGGGAGGGGA